TGACAGCTTGGAAACCAGCATAGGGCAGTCTATGGGTCCCCTGATAATGGAACAGCATTAATACCTAGTGTATAAATGGATATTGGGAGTGCATTTCCCACAGAGGGATACTCTCTCAGCCTAGACACATGGGGGGAAAGCCTAAGCCCTGCCCTAAATGATGTGACAGACTTTTATGATCTCCCATAGAAGGTCTCACTTTTTCTGTGGAGGAGAAGAGAGATGGGATGGGAGTCTGTGGGGGGCATGGGACAATGGGAGGGAACTAGGAATATATAAAATAAGAGGACTGTTTCTAATTTAAATAAAACATGAAAAAATTTTTAGTTGTGTTTTTATCTCAGGGTCCACACACACACACACACACACACACACACACACACACACACACACACACACACACACCTCACCTTTTAAATTTGGATTAAGGTCTACTACATCTATCACTTTAGATTGTACTTTATATAGCTTTTTTAAAAATTAGTATATGAAACTGTGGGTTTCACTATGTTATTTTCATATATATTTTAATTTCATTAATCTTTCTCTCTACTGTCTTTTCCCATTCCTCCTCTTGAAACTCTGATGCCATCTCCCAAGTAACCCTCCCTTCTTTCATGGCATATGTGTCCTTTTAAAATGATTTTACTTCTAAGTTTTATATATATTTGTGTATTTGTGTGTGTATGTGTGTGTGCATGCATGTGTTTGTGTTCATATGAGTGTGGGTATGTGATATGAGTTTGCCTGTGTTTATGTGATTGTGGGAGCCTGTGGAGGCCAAAGACACTGAATCTTCATGGAATAGGATAATGGACATTGGGAACTCAACTCAGATCCTCTGTAACATTGGTACATGCTGAGCCATCTCTTCAACCCCGATATATGAATCCTATTTGCCTCTATCCCCAACCCTCCTTTTAAGATTCTTTTTCCTCTTTCACTATTGCCTTTCTAGTTTGATGGCCTAGTAGCCCTTCACAAATATTCATACATATATGTACATTTCAGAGATGAAATGTGAGAAAGCATACAGTATTTATCTGAATCTGGGGCACTTTGAACACAACAATCTCTCAATATCTATTTTCCTGCAAAAATCATAATGTCATTTTTCTTTATAACTAAATAAAATGTCATTGTATGCATGTGCCTTATTTCCTTTCCCTTCATCTAATGCTGACAGAAATGCATGCTGCTTCCATTTGCTAGTGACCCTGTATAATATAACTATATGTATGGATGCACAAATGTCTCTGTGGGGACTTGCAGTTTTTCATATGAACTTAGGAGTGGTGGAGCTGGATCAGAAGGTGGTTTTGTTTTTACTCACTTGTTTGTCTTTGTTGCTATGAGAAACATCTATATTGATATTCACAATGGCTGCAGCAGTTTCCATTTCTACCATTTCCTCCTTCATCATAGCCCTGCCAGCATGACAGCTATTCTGACAGGACAGCTATTCTGACTGGTATAAGGCGGGATCTCTACACAGATTTTTATCAACATTCTCCTAATAACTAAAAATGTTGAACACTTTAAAAAATGTTTATCAGCCATTGAAAGATAAATTTAAAATTTAAAGATACATTTCTTCTTTTGAAAAATATGTTTGGGCCATTAGCTCATTTGTTGATTGGAAAGTTGATTTCTTTTTTCAGATATTGCTTGATTGTGTTTATTTGCTTGCTATTTGGGTCAGTTGGAGTCAGTGATTTAATCCTTAGTACATAAACCTGTGAAAGATATCTGTAACTTGTCACTCATTCCTTCCTCTAGTGATGAATTCATCTCTGAAATGAATATATATGTATGAACATTTGAGAAGACTTACTAGGTCATGAAACTAGAAATAAGGAAAGAGGAAAAAGAATATAGTACTTTTGAGAAGTACTTTTAGCAGGTCATTCTTTTTTATTTCTTTGTTTTGTTGTTCTTTGTTTTGTTTTGTTTTGTTGGTTTTTTCAAGACAGATTTCTGTATGTAACAATACTGGCTGTCCCAGAACTTGCTCTCTAGACCATATTGGCCTTGAACTTGCAGAGATCCACCTGCCTCTGCCTCTCAAGTGCTGGGATTAAAAGTGTGTGCTCAGCTAGAAGGTCATTCTAAAAGTGTGCTAGAGCTCAGCAACAAATCTGTTTCACACTTTTTTTTGTGGAGAGGTGTTTAATTACCACTTCTAACATATTCTATTATAGGATTAAAAAGTTGATACCATCTTGATTTAATTGTATTAGGTTGCATATTTTAGATATTTTAACTTACTGGAATATAAGCTTCCTATGTTTTCCTAATATTCCTGTGGATTTTATTAGGGTCTGCTGTAAAAATTTCCATTTTATCCCTAATTTTGTTCTTTTTGACAGCCTTCCTCCTTTGGTTAGTTTGATTGGAGGTTTGTCAATCATCTTTATCTTTCAAACCACCAGCTTTTTGCGTCTATGTATTCTAATCTTATTCTCTATCTCATTATTTTGCTGTAATACTTACTATTTCTTGTCATCTGCTACATTTGTTTGGTTTTTTACTTTTCTAGAACCCTGAAGTGGATCATTGGGTTATTTATTTGAGATTACTCTGAACTTTACACCAGGCTCTGAGAGTATAACATCATTGCTGTAACAAACAGCATGCCTGACTTCAGAATACTGTATGAAGGAGGTGGGCGAATAAACAATAACTACAATAATAAAATGATGCTCATCAAATATTGGCACAGGCTAGTTGTGAATACATTAAGAGTACACTAGACTTCATAGTGAGCTAAAGGGAAAAGAGGAGTCAGACCAGGATGGGCTCTTCCTATGGGGAGTAAGGAGTTGATTTACCCATGTCCCAACAGGAAAGAAGAAGGTGTTTCCCTATGCTCAGCTTAGAGAAGCCTGTCACAAAGAATGAACCAGATAACAAAGGAAGTGACTCACCTTCTTCCTTAAGTAGGAAAGAGGGGGGAAAAAAAGAAAGAAAAGAAAAAAGAAGCCTATTTTCCCTTTCTAGGTCAAACAGCAGAGCCTAGAAGCTACTCGTATTCACAGCCTCATTTGTACTGTTTAGGACATTTAGAACTTGATCATCAAGTACTTGAGGAAAACATGGTTTATCCTAGAGATGGCTCAGCAGTCAGGAGCACCCAGTGCTCTTGCAAAGGACTGAGTGCAGTTCCCAACACCCGCATGGAACAGCTTACAACAACCTGGGATATGACACCTCAGCAGATACATACATATACACATACATACATACACAAATATGTACACATGATTTAAAATGAAATACATATCTCAAAAAGATCTCTGGATAAGTGAAAAACAAGAGATATCCCCCTGGAGTGTATGTCAGTGGGGGTTGGAGGTAGAACACAGGACCTTCCTTACACATGCTAGGCAAATGTTCTACCTACCTCAAGTCATACCCCAAGACCAGGAACCCCCTTTTGAGAGTATATTCTCTCCATACACTTGCCCAACATTTTCATTCTAGCATCTCTTTTAGTTACACTGCTCAAGGTTTTTGTGGTGGTATTAACTGTAATTGTTTACATTTAGCTCAAATAAAAACCAACAACAACAGAGGAAGTTTTGTTTGTTCCCAGTTTCAGGGTGGGCCTCTTCCAGGTATGCTTAGAGCCTCATTATCAACTATCAACTTTTCTTTTCCTCCCTGCTATTGGTTTTCTTTTTCTTCTTTCTTTACTTTAGTGATCATGATTTGACTCTTAGCCTATGCTCCTACGGTTTAAGACTCTACTAGCATTGTTAAATGAAGACTCTCCAGTTTCCCTGCTGCAGTCCCTTCTGAAATAAGTTACCTTTGCTTTTGTGCTCTTTCCATCAACTATGTCATGCCAAGGGCATGAGCAGAAATGTGAGGGTGAACCTGAAATCCGACCTTCACAAGCACTCTGGCCTAGAGGCACCTACAGAGCTGTCAACCTCTTTTAGACTTGTGAAGACATGCATAGAAATAGCATAAGCTGCCACATTCCTCTGTGGCCAATGTACAATCTAGCTTTGTGGAAACAAAACAAGAGATATTCAAACTAGAATATCGGCAAGCCATTAATAATTTGAACAGTAATTTAAATGTGTTAATCAACACAGCTAAACCACATAACACAGCATTAATATTGTTGGACTTTTTATTTGTTTTCACTTTCCTATATATGCAAATTATAGGTTCAAAACAAGGATTCCATTAGTCAGAACTGGTAACACATTGAAGGCAGTTGTCTCCAGTCTGAATAGCAATGTTCTATAGAAAATTTGTAAGAAACCCTCATGTTTGGTCTTTGTGCTTTTGACAGTACTTGGGAAATGACAGTTAACAAACTGTATTTTCATGCTCAGGATGACTTTATACGACACTGTCCTTTCTATCTTATTATATAAAGATTTCTTTCAGCCATTTGAATTTTTAAACTCATAAGGATAGGAGAAAGACATCTAGCATCAGTATTAGAAGGGTAGAAGTATGGCTTTGGTACTTGTTTTTATATTATAAAAGGCAAAATTCTGAATACTCATCACTTGATGCTATGTAGTTACTTATAAACACTCATTTATTTAAATTAACACACAAACTTAAAATGTTCTAAATATTCATCATTTATATTATGTGGTAATTAATACTCACATATTAAGGTTAATACATACAAGCTTATATAGAAGCCAAAAATTCTAAGAACTAAGAACAGAAAAGGGATATTAATGTTTTCCCAAAAAGACACCAAATAGTCATTGCTCTTTAAGAAGTAACAGATCAGTGCATTTTCTTATCCCATCAAAAGTCTCCCCAGTAGCAACCTCCTACTTCAAGTTTCTGTTTCTCATCACTGGACTCACAAAACAGGAGAAGAAGGTCACAGACAGGGAAGTCATGAAATATTTGTATATTTTAAAACAACATGCATATCATGTGATTTCCATCACCCCCCCCCAAAAAAAAAAAGAAAAGAGAGAAGGAAAAATGAACCTTCTAGGTCAGAAGAAGTCACTTACCTGCTGCTCCTGTGCTCTAGCAGCACCAAGTTCTGAGAGTGACATGGTGAGCTTCTCTTGCTGCTCTGATAGGTACTTCTGGTAGAGACTAAGAAGTTCTTGACATTCTCTATATTGTAGCTGAAGAGGTGAGATTGCAAATTAAGGAGAAAAAACTGGCTCTCACACACATTCCAATAAACAAAACAAAGACAGAAATATGATAATATTTGGTCAGTGATAGTGAGTATGGAGTCATCAGATAAAAACAGTTCATGTGTCCAATCATGAAGCAATAATTTTTATAAGAAAGCAGCACTGAGCATCCTAGTGAAGAGATATTTCTCTTAGTTCTTTGCAGAGCTCTGCAAAGGAACTCATATATGAACAGGAAAATGACGCTGGGCATAGAGTACATGCCTGCAATCCCAGAATTCAGGAAGTTGAGGCATCTTGTTGAGAATCATGAGTTCAAGGATGGACTGGGCAACTGCCAGACATGGGAAAGGAAAGGGGAAGCGAAAGGAAAATAAAAAGAAGGGGAGGGAAACAAAAAAAACCAATGATTTAAGAGTTAAACCTACAAAACTCTCACAAATTCATCTTTGTGACCTTGAAAGATGAAACTGCAAACAAACAAAACAAAAAAAAAACCCTCAAAATGAAAGACTCTGAAATCATTTATATGATAAAAGATTAATACTCAGAATATATAAACAGCTCATAAAATTCAACATAAATAATACTAAACTAGTTTTTTAAAACTGGCAATCTGCAAAAAGAAATATATAAATGATCAATAAGTAAAAGATGCTAAACACAATTGGCTATGGGGAAAGGCAAATCAAAAGTACAAGGAGATAGGACTTCATATCCAGCAGGAAAGCCTTAATCAAAGACTCAAGATGGCAGGTCTAACAAGGATATGTTCAACTGAAACCTAGTTTATCTAACAGGCATGTAAAATGTACTGCTACTTTGGAAGAAAAATTAGTAGTATGTTTTTAAAAGGAAATTTACTATATAACCCAATATATCTCTTTATCCAAGAAAAAAATTTAAAAGCATAAACAAAAAACTCATACATGGTGTCTTCAGAGAAACCCTGCTCTCTGTAGTTTAGAAGCAACAAGAGCCTAAATGTCCATCAACTTATCAACAGAACAGTATCTATAAAATGGAACATCATTTGGCAATAAAATAAATGAGAGACTGGTACATGTTACACACCTTGAAAATATTATGTCATAGAAAACAGTACTAACACAAAGAATATCTATTATAAGCATTTATTTTTATGAGAAGTCAAGAATAGGCCAAGTGTATTCAGGCAAGGAAGTGGATTGATGGTTACTACAGACTGGTGAAGAGGAACCAGAGAAAAGGGTGCAGGTTTGGGAGGAGATTTTGGAGTGAGATGATGGTAGTGTTGACACTCTGAGAAATATTTAATGCCATTCAATTGTATACTTGAAAATGTCATATTTTATGTAAATAGTATCTTAATGATTAGTGTCTATTTTATACACTGAGTTCCTAACTCTCTCAAGCATAAAGGGATTATTTTTTTGAACTTTGGTTTTACATATTAATAATCACACCACTAACACCATCACCAGGAGTTTTCTGCCCATATATCTTCTTCCTGGTTCATAAAACATGGCAACCTATCCTGGGGTGCCCTTTTCATGGCTCCTAGAATGGGAAGAATGCTAGAGGTAAAAGCACTAGGTCAGAAAGGTCCAATTTCATAGGTCAGAACCTCCAAGCTTCTTAATGTGGTTAGTTTCTGCTAGGTTCCTGTTTGCTCAGATCATTTCTGAATCTCCCTCTCAGCGCTTATTTAGATATGCTGTTGGCAAAAGAATTACTGTCCAATGGGATTATTCTGTACATATATTTCTATACAAGATCATCATGATTAAGTGTAGGGATAATATTTCTTAAATGTCAAAAATTGTAACTAGTTTCAATATTCCTTAACATTTTCATAACCTAATCATTGCTTCTGGGCAGATTCTTGTTCTAATAACTTTTGCCAATCAAAACTGCATAAATAACCAACCGCTTCATTATTCTGGTTATTAACCTTTAACAAAAAGGAGCCCAAGATGGCTTATAGGAGAGGACTGGCTCACAGTGAAAGGCCAGGTCACTAAGCTTATAGAATACATTAATTCCAAGAGCTTATTGAATACTTAGAGTCTGAAACAATAGCAGTAATAACAGAGCAGAGCAGTAATCTAATAAGCTAATAGTTTCTAATGTAGATCTATGTTGAATTTCTATGTTTTTGCATTTCTTTTGTGTGTGTGTGTGTGTGTGTGTGTGTGTGTGTGTGTGTGTGTGTGTGTAAGCTCCAAAAGACATACATGATTTGTGTGGTTCCAAGGGGTTTGTGACAGTTATTATGAATATAAAAAGTTTTTTATTCTAGCAATAATGTTTATAATAGGTAAATATCTGGTCACAGAACACGGATTTTATTCTAGAAAAAAACATGCACAGTTCAACAGAAAATGAGGTAATGTTAGCATCTGAGACAACTTATATACATTATATGCATGCCATGTGACAACACGGTGGCTCGAATAAAAATAGCCCCCATAGGCTTATAGGGAATAGCACTATTGGGAGGTGTGACCTTGTTTGAGTAGGTGTGGTTTTGTTGGAGGAAGTGCATCACTAGGAGGTGGGTTTTGAAGCCTCACATACTCACGTCAGGTCTAGTGTGACGTTCACTTCCTGCTGCCTGATCATCTGAATGTAGAACTGCTAGCTAGCTCCTTCTCAAGCACATGTCTCCTTGCACACTTTCATGATTTCACTGTGACAATAATGGACTAAACTTTTGAAATAAGCCAGCCCCACTTGTATTGTGTAAGCAACAGAATATAAAAATACAGTCTTTATTTTTTAAATTTCTTTCTTTGTTTCATCAGATTCCAGAAAGACCCATATTTCCTTTCTCCCTAACAAAGTGAGACTTTAACCCTGTACCTGGTGTGAGATCTTAGGAAAATGTAAATGAAATTCTTTTCTTCACTGAAGGGAGGACTTGCTCTTAGTCACATAACAGAAAAGGATGTTCTAGATATAGGATATCAAGCCTGAGAAAAGGTGTACACCAAACCAAGAAGTAAATGGGCATTCTGCAGTAGGTCCAACCACCATTTACAAAATGAGAAAAGCTACCAGTTACCTCACCCTGTACTGAAGAAAGGAGCCTTCACCAATGAGCTATATCAGTATCAACTTGTATCGAGTAAGATCACATTGAAATCCAAACAACTGAACCAGTCACATGAAGAGGCTGCAGGAAATGTCCATTTCACACAGTATAAAGACAACATGAAAAGGTACCACAGAGAAAAGTAAAATGAAGCATCGAAGGACAATGAATATGGTGGCAGATGAAAAAGCAAAACTCTTAAGTGGGGACACTTAGACCAGATAAGATTGTGACGAACTGGAAGACTCTCGCCAGCGAAATCCACTACCATCACCCACCCACCTTAACCTCTAGTCCGATGTTGGGAATACTACTTGATCTGGTACTGAGTATCCACCCTAATACAGGGAAGCCTTTGTGTGAACAGAAAAGGTTGATCATAAAAGGAGAAACCAGTCAGACTAGCCAAGCTTTACTTCAGCTAGACACCATAAAAGAAAAAGAAAAAAAAAAAAAAAAAAAAAACCAAAACCAAAAAACAAAAACAAAAAACTTGCAACCCCTTGGACTTCTGGGAGCCCACTCACCAACTTTCTTCCCCAGGGGTGATTCCACAGAAGAGGGAGTGAAGGCCAGAATCTGAATTCTCACTTTTACCCCACCCCCCACCTGTGGGGGTATTCCTGTTTGTTTTTTAAAATTAAATTTTTACTAAAAAAGCAATCTTATTTTACACACCAATCCCTATTCCCTCTCCCTCCCACCCTCTCATGGCCTCTACTACCAACCCCCATCCATCCCCCAGGAGAGTGGGGCCTTCTATGGGGGATCATCAAAGTCTGACACATCATTTGGGGCAGGACCTAGGCCCTTTCTTGTGTCTCAAGGCTGAGTATCCCTCCATGGGGAATGGAGGCTCCCAAAGACCATTTGTGCACTAGGGATAAATACTTGTTCCACTGCCAGAGGTCCCATAGACTGCCTAGGCCACCCAGCTGATACCCCCATTCCATCCTATGGTGATTACCCGGTTTTCAGACTGGGGTCCATGAGCTCCCACTTGCTCAGGTCAGCAGTTTCTATGGGTTTCTCCAGCCTGGTCTTGACCCCTTTGCTCATCACTCCTCCCTCTCTACAACTGGATTCCAGGAGTTCAGCTTAGTGTTCAGATGTGGGTGTCTGCTTCTGCTTCCATCAGCTACTGGATGAAAGCTCTAGGATGGCATTTAAGGTAGTCATCAATCTCATAATAGGGGAAGGGTAATCCTGTTGTAAGAGTAGGATAGGAAGCTAACAGGGACTATTTCAGTTGCACACTGGAAGTCATCAGGGGAGCTTTTGCCCTCATCAAGCAAGTAATGATACATACAGGTGACTAAGCTTCCATCCCTACCCAGCAATAATGAGTGCTCACTCCCAAGTGCCAAGGAAAGTCTAGTAAGGACCCTGAGCTTTCATCACAATCTCAATACAATGAAGCAAAACCTTTTCTTCCCCTATTGGTGATACCAGAAAAGGTCTACTAACACAACTGATCACATGCTACACCATGAGCCAAGACATATCAATTCAATGAGAGAAGAAAATCAACAGATATCAATACTGAAATAACCTAGATGTTAAATAAGAAATTTATTGTTTCTTGCAAAGGACTTTAATCTGGTCATCCTGAAATGTTTCAACGTGTATGCTTCAAACAAATAAAAAATATTAGAATGTCGCAGAAAAGAAACACCAGATACAGAAGAATCAAATTGAAAAGTTGAAACTGAAAATTATAACAATCAAAATAAAATGCCCACTGCATGGGCTCAACAGAATAAAAGACAGGGAAAATTAATGAAGTTGAAAATACAAAGCACAATATATTTTCCGAGCAGTAGAGAGAAAACAGATGTGAGAAGAAAATAAAAAAAAGAGCATAAGGGAACTATTGTGACATATAAGAAGATTCACCTGAGTGCCACTCAGGTGAATAGAAGTTAGGTGG